ATTAAAGAGAAAATATGGATAATGAGTTGAAGAATTATTTTTTAACATTGAACGTGTAACGTGTTCTTCTAATATAACTTAATTTCTCATATTATAATATTCTAGACCAGACTAAAATGTTATATGTTTAGTGAGCATTGGTGAAATAAGCATTACACATGATTTATAATAAACTCAGTATATATATCACAATGGTTGCTTAGTACAGTCATTCTTAAAAGTTTTTCTTTAAAGTATATCACATTAGTTGTTTGAAGTAACCATTATGATAGCTAGCGTACTTCTTGATATATAATCACAATCTCACGACCGTGGTGGAAAGCATCATACATACAACCACCCATTACCTCACAACGGTTGGTCAGCCGTTGTGGTATCTCTTTTCCAACCATTGTGGTATCCCTTTTCCGTAGTAGTGGAAGATCAACAAGACAAAGAGGTATGACTGCAAGATTCCAAGATTGCGAGTTGTTCCTAGATAACGAAATCAATGACAATGATAATTTCGTCCATTTTGTACTTATGGACGAATCTGAACCCATTAAAATTAAGGAGGTTTTGAGTAATCCAAAATGGATTTGTGTTATGAAAGAGGAGTTGGAATCGATTCAGAAGAACAAGATATGAGAGTTAGTTGATCTTCCAGAAGGAAAGAAGCCAATTGGTGTAAGATGGGTGTCTAAAGTGAAGACAAATCTCAAGGATGAAATAATCAAGCATAAGGCTCGTTAGTTGAAAAAGGATTTTTGCAAAGAGAATGCATAGACCTTGAAGATGTATTTGCATCGATGGCTAGAATTAAAACTATTAGGCTAGTTGTTAGTATTGCAAATAACAACAATTGGACATCTAATAAACGGATATCAAATCTTCATTTTTTGAATGGACTTCTTGAAGAAGAGGTTTATGTAGAATGATCTCATGGTTTTGTTGTGAAAAAACAAGAGTCAAAGTTCTACAAATCGAAGAAATTATTGTACCCTTTGAAACAAGCTCCAAGAGATTGGAACAAGATGATAAATTGTTTCTTAAAGGAGATTGGCTTTTCAAGAAGTGTGTATTTGAACATAATGTGTATGTGAATAAGGATACAAATGAAGGGGTGATAATCCTATGTCTCTATATAGATGATTTTTTGATTACATGAAATGATGAATAATGAATCTCTAAGTTCAAGAGTGAGCTTATGAAGGAGTTTGAGAAGATTAACTTTGACCTCATGACATACTTCTTTGGCATTGAGTTCTAAAAGTTCAAGAGGAGATTGCTCATGCACCAAAGAAGGTATGCAATTGAGATTTTGAAGAAATTTAAAATGGAACATTGTAATGTTGTCATTACTCCGGATGAATCGAGGTTGCAACTGTAAAAAATGAGGATGAGGAAGATGATAATCCAACTCAGTATTAGAGGCTGATTGGATCTTTGCGTTACATGTGCAATACGCAGTTAGATTTTTCGTTTAGTGTTGGTATTGTGAGTAGATTCATGGAAAGACCAAACGTGTCTCACATGGAAGCAGTCAAGAGGAGTCTAACATATGTCAAAGGATCTATTGGTTGCATAATTCCTTTTCCGCAATGGACAAGGGAAAAAATGCAATTTACTCAAATTTATCGATTACAATTGATGCGGAGATAAGTCTACAACTGGACACATCTCTATGTTCGGATCCAGTTGATCATACCTCTTGCCTTTGACAATTTTGGTTTTCTAATATCAAAAACAATTGATCTTTTACAGAGAGTCCAAAAGCTTAGGAATAATAATGTTGTATCTCCTAGGTCTATGAATATAGTTTTTAAAAAAGTTAGTTTTACCATCCAAAAAAGAGTAACAGTGCAATTTGTTGTTTGTTTACCTTTTATTATGTATAAACTTCTCTAATATTGATCTTCCTTTAGTAAACAAACTTGTTTTTCTTCACCAAAAAACAAAGTTTGTAATGCTTTTGGGAAGAAATTTCCTAGTTCAGGCTTGGTAGAAAATGGAGAGTAAGTTTAAATAGAATGAAAATTTATTTTTAAATGTTTGGTTCTTTATAATGAAAACTTTAAGGTCTTCGGGAAGATACATTAGTCATTGTAGCTCATAAGAAATAAAAGATAGGGATCGACATTTTATCTTTGAGAATAATTTTTCTCTCCACAAAATTAAAGATGATTCCAAGAAAAAACAGTAGTCAAATGATCTTCTAGTGTTTTAGCAATTTTTTCAATCTGCATCTGAAAAGCCAAAAATTTATAGTGAAGATCTTTTCGAGAGATATCCGTTTGTCCGTCTCGGCTCGCCCTCATTTTTTTGGGTGGATCAAAATTTTAGATCCGCACTCTCACAACAGCGAATTTGCTCTTGGCGCTAAGTGCACGATGCTTGGATCGAGCCCAAGCTTGATAGTCAGAGTGAGTTAACATTTTCAAAAACATTTGTTAACATTTTCAAATATCTCATGAACTTACATTCTTCTAAAAACATCAGCAATGTTACAACTGAAACTATGCTTGTACTAAGTACACCTTCACACACATACACATCTATAATGCATGCTTAAACAACGTTTCAACCGCAGTTGAGCTACAATTCTTGACATCGCGCGAAACTAAGACTAAATACAGCCGCTGCGGCTGCAATTGTAGTCATGGTGATGTTAGGAATTAAAACCTTGTAAACATGCAAATTCAAGCCCAAGCTTCTCCTCCTCCGTCCCTAGTATTTACAATGCCAAGACTCGCCGACTTCTTAAATGGCCTGCTCAATTGAAATACCGGGTGCCTGCATAACTTGCGCACTCCGTTTCTCAATCGCAACCAATGTTCGCTGTCATATCTGCGTCGATAACTATAACTATTTTCTAATGGACCACTGTCAAATGTAGAAGTTGCACTATCAGCTGAAAAAGATTTGAATACCTCGTCTCGATTTCTCTTTTCCTCTGAGCTTCGGAGTTTCTCTACGCTCCATTCTATTCTTCCTAAGGTAGAAGTCCTTGAGAATTTTCTTTTGGTAGTTGATGACTTTTTGTCGCAGTTATCCTCGGTTAGTTCACACGATGACTCCTCGCGGTTGAAGTTGAAAGGAGGAAATTCATCTTTGCAGGAGATGAAGTCCATGCTATTTAAAAGCAATCTTGAATTAGAAATTGATTCATCTCGTTCTCGAAGTGTCTTCAAAATCAATGTCTTTAAGAAGTTCATAACTTGTACTGCATGAATCAATGCAGTTAAAGGGTCTGCCATCTGCATTACAAAAGAAAGTTTGTTTCTTAGTACACGTTTTCGAGTAGAATTGACTTTGCCTCCTTAATTGATTCTAACTCGATGTTAGAACTTTGAGTTTTTGCCTCGAATTTGTTGTTCCAACACATTTTTACATGAATTCGTATATAAATTACTTTATATTCAACTCACTTTTAGTCGGAATCAATTTAACATAAACATAAATTTTCTTGATATGCCATTGTTAACGAACCTGCGTCATATTAGGCGCGAAAACCATAGCTACATTGCGCGCATTCATCTTATTGAACTGCTCATACTCAACAACATCAGCCATCAAGTTGATTGCCCAATCAAGAAGAGCAGCTTCTGTGGAAGGAAGCAACTTGACAAGGTTTGTACAATCATCTTCTGTGTTGCATAGCATCACTTGCTCTGGTGTGAGAGAATCAAGCACACCAGTTGGAAGCTCTCTAAACCAGGCCTGCAAATATTAAACATTCAATTAGACGAAATTACGCATAGAAGTTGAATTAAACATCTTGATAATTACTATTAACTACCTTGATCAAGCCGGATAAACAATGAACGTCGATTCCATTTGGAACTACACCTTTGTTTAACTGATCTCGAACGAACGCTTCTTGGCTATTCTCACCAGTAATACGGAATATTCCTTCTGCCTTTGTACACGAAAAACACGAAATTAGACCTTAAAATTCATATGTAACTAACATCAAATCCAATGAATTTAACAAATAATCCAAAACAAATTGAACATACTTGAAGACCTCCCTCAGAATACAATTGCTTTTGCATCCTCAGCAGAATCGTTGGGACACTATTCCCTCTATCATCATAAGAACACTGCATTGACTTTGCAGAAACTCCAAATACCTTCACACTGAATGATTTAAAGACAGTATTAGAACAAAACCAAAGAAAGACAAGAAGAGATTGTTATGAGTCTCGTATCGGAGAATATATATGTCTGAACATGTGCATATAAATATGGGTAATCCTCACCCTACAAGCTGATTTTGTAAGGTTGAGTTAGACCAAACCATATTGCATGGTATAAGAGTCTCAATTTAAGATCCAGTGGGCCACCTGCTATCAGATTTCTGCTATTGGCCCACCATTTATTTCCAGGCTCTCTAGTCCTGAGCGTGGCGCAATCATTGATATTCACAAACTTCACTCATTAGTTTTGTTTCTTCTTAAATTGAAAAACACAAAATCTATACAAAACATAAGTTCAAGAATCTATGTTCTATGGACAATAAAGATACAAAAAATTGACCTTGCGCTAGGTACTCTTGTAGGAACCTCAGGTTGAAACTCAGAAGGCAAACCAAGGAAGCCATTGAACCTATCAAAAGTAACATGTGACACGTGTCTAACTTCTGTTGGCCAGCTGATATCTAAAGAAGAAACATCCTCTCTTTCCACACTGCAAGTTACAATCGATTTCTTAAGAGCAGCAACAACAATATCCAATATTGCAAACTGGTTTTGATGATTGTTGTTGGATCCTTTCGCGAAATGACTCGAAACATTGTTCCTCGAGTACTTCTCTTCCTCCATCTCCTCCTCCTCATCATCATCATTATCATCATTGTCATCATCACTTTCTAATTCTTCTTTTTCTTCTTTCTTCTTTCCTTGTTGTGCAACAGTGTTGTATTCTGAGATACTGAAACCTGCTACACCACATGATTTAGATCGAAAAAGGCGAGTCATTTGGCTTAATTACCAAGAAAGAAATAAAGGGTCGGTTCTGAATTAAGGTGAAAGGATCTGAATATATGAAAGTGAGGCAAAAAAATTGAATGAGATGTGGTTTGGGTTAAGTAAAAGTTGTGGTGAAAAATGGAAGAAGAAGAAGAAGAAGAAGAAGAGAGAAGAGAGAAGAGAAAGAAAAAGGATGAGTTTGGTTGAGAGGGAAATTATGAACGACAATTGGATTGGGAAGGTAAGTAAGGTGGTAAGATTGATGGTGACATGAAACATTGTTGGTTTTCTTTTTGTTTTTGTTAGGATCATGTTGGTTGGAATAATTAAGAAAAGTGAAGTAAAAGGTAAATAATTAATTAAGTACATAGTAAAAGGTAAAAGTCTGTGCACATGTGTAAGGTTCTTTGATGCTGAACATGGTTTTAATGGTTTCTACACTAGATCCAATATCTGTGAACTTTTTTGTGAATTAAAAAATAAGCAGGTAAATAAGTGAGTTTGGTGGCTCGTGATGAGAGAGTGAAGAGAAGCATATGGACAAAAAACAGAGAGAGGAAGAAGACATGAGAGTGTGTGTATTTTTGTGAGGTTCCTACTGACATGTTTTAAGGCTACTAGATATGTGTTCCCATCACACATGACATATTATGCTTAGGAGTCAGATTTCTGTGCATGGGGAGGGTTCTATTTTTTTGACCCCATCATTGTTATAGTCAGTGTATTTGTTATTGATGATGTAGAGAAAATAAAGGTGTACAAAAGTGTGATATCACTTGGTTCTATATGAAAAGATGTTATAGATGGAAAATGACTCATAATTTAGTGTGACTCACACTTGAAAAATAGTTGTAAACTATTACAATAATTTGTTAGGAAGTAAAAATCGACGGGGTCGATCATCGTCGAGCATCGTCAATAATTGAGGTTGTTATTAAAGAAATTGTTGGAGTCGACCATTGTCAATGTTTGAAACGATTTTCAAGAATTTTTATTCACTCTTAAAACTAATTATCACACATGAAAGGTGAAAAGCAGAAACTGAATTCAAAATTGATTATGTTCATTCTACTTTCATTCATGATTATTGAAATGATTACTTATATGCTCTATCAATTGGACTTACACTAATAAAGTGTAAAACATTATAATCAACTTGATTAGTTAGTTGCTTGCACACCAAATAATGTAATTAACTCAACTAACTTGTTACATTCACAATAAGTAACTCAACCCTTTTCATTTGAATTACATTTCAACCATCTCTTTTGATTCAAAGTCTCTACACTAAGTACGTTGAACATGCTTCTCGTTTTTCTTAAATTTCTCAATCTTTAGTGATTTAGTTAGGATATATGCAATTTTGATCGTTCATCTTAAAGTATGTTAGAATAATATTTCTTTTGTTTAATTGATCATTATGAAAAAAGAAATTTGGTCTCTCTGTCCTTGCTCCTTCCATTAACTACAAAATTTTAGTGAGATTGTTGATTTATTGTTTATCAAGAGTTTCTTTTTATTCATTGCCTATCTTGATTTCACTTAATAAGGATTGCACCTATCCACCTTGACATGTTGCAATGCAAATTGAGATGCATTAAGTCTCAAATGATGAAAGGACCAATCCAATTTACTTCTTTGAATGCCTTGAGAATAAAGACTTAGATAGTTTGAACACATACACATTTAACGGTCACAGGCCCATTAGTAAGACTCATTATTAATTAGGTATATTTTCTAGTGCTTATTTAAAATGCACATTATATTGTATATGATACAACTTTTCAGTTTTCGATAAATAAGTTTTCTTAACATGCTGTTATCTCCTTCAAGATGAATGAAATATTCTTCCGCTGACTTTTGTCAACATGGTATCAGGAGTTACAAGATTACTCTGATCCTTTTCTTTGCAACACGTTTCTTCTTCGTCATCCTCTTCCACCGTTACCTTCTTTCTTTGTGTTTCTTGTTCTTTCTGATCCTTCATCATGCCTGGAACAGATGAAGACAAATCTTCGTCGAAAAAATCACCAAACAAGAAAACCAATAATCACCGCTCCACAACCCGAAGTTATCAGCAAGAAAAAAACTAAGTAGTCTCAAACAAAATTAATCTATAAATTAGTGCAAAAAAACTACAATTACAAGAACAACATAAAACATGAGAATCAACACACACATAATTATTTATTCAGTTCGATCCAAAATGATCAACTTTAAAGAAGCGAGAAGTTCTTTGATCCACTGTTAAGGAGAAGTCTTTAAATAAATATTACAAATTATTTAAAAGAAAATAGTATTCTAAATTCATAAAAATATCTAATATTTTCTCGTTCTCTCAATATATTAATCACATAATTCCGTTGTTTTTAGAAGTATTTCTCAACTATTAGATATCTCTAAAAATTTCTCAACTCTTAACGTTAAAACTTCATAAGAATCCCTTTATTTATCTCTTAGGAAAAACATCTTCCTAAAAAATGGCACAAAAAACCTTAAATATGAAACTTGTTGCAAGATGAAGTGTCCCTTGCCTCTCGTCCAAACGCCTCTAGTTTTCTCGAAACTTCTTGCGTGTGAGGAAGACCTTAAATCCTTCAAAAATATGTTCCCGAGATACCTCACTTTTCTTTGGAATATGCATTGTGTTCGCGAAAGAATGGAAAAATTGAAGTCTCTAGCTTTCTTGGAGCACACTCCGCACATATGTTCTATCATTTATGTATGAAGACAAAACATTACAGATATATCATTTTTTTCATCCTATAAACACAACACCAATCCATATACAACTATTGGAAAAATCTTGGACCGGGTTTCATGTAGTTTATATTGCATGTATTCACACATTTAAGAAATGGTGTATGTGTGATCAAAATCAAACCGTTCAAATTTAAATTCAATATTTAAATTACAAAAACTAAAATACATATTTGTTTACCGTCCAATCTTAATTAGACGAATACGAATATCACACATGAATGTGCACTCCCTCTGAATCATAGAGAGTTCAATTTCGAAAACCTTAATGGTGCACGAAGGCAATTACATATTCCATTTTTTTAAAACAACACATACTCTATCTAGTAGGAATGGAAAATAAATTAACACCCGGCCAGAACTACCAACTACCGCCCCAAATCTAACAGAGAAAAGCGGAGGCAGATGCAGGATTGAAAACCCCAATTTTTAATTAAGGGTTGATTCAATGGATCAACTATTACTCTCGATTGAGTTTGGGGATGGAATAGAAAGTGGAGGTAAGGTTGGTAATACTTAAAACTGCCTTGTTGTTATACCTACTATTTAGTCACTATTATATCTAAAAATATATTTTTATACTTTTTAAATAACGGATTATAGGTAGAGAGAATAAAAAAAAGTTTACTTGATCTACCAACTCAAAATATTTAATGATCATCTCAAATAAGATTATAACTTTATAACTCAATCCAATGGAAATATTTAGCATAGGCAAGTGAATTTCTGACCACCATAGAGAAGTGAGATTTTTAACCATTGATATATTATTATTTATATTCAACGGTTGAGATCTTTGACTTATAATTTGTTGATGACTTTTTTTGACTGATTTACAAAAATATAGAATAATTAATAAAATATTATATTTAATAGTTTTTATTCAGTCTCCAAAAATAACTATTTATCTGCTTGGTGAAGCCCATCACGCCACCTTCTCCCTTATCAGTAGAGAGAAAAGACACATTAAATTATGTGTTTATTGACATACCAACAAAACTTACCTCTCAGAAAATTAAAGATATTAGCATGGTATTTCTTGTCTCCAATTCTTTATTTCAACCTAGACACTCTTTGCATATGGAAGAGGGAACTTCAAACATGGACTGGAATTATTTGGTCCAGATTTTAATGTCAACGATTGTAAGGTTATATTAATTAAACTTCTTCAATCTTCATTATTGTTTCTTCACTTCTTTCTTTTTTGGGATTTAATAATGTAAATCATGGTTATGTGAAGATAATTGGTGCATCAAATGAACAAGTTAACGTATTCAACAAAGTTTGGAACATCATGTTGCTGAACAACTGAGACGTAATGGAGGATAAAATCTCAAACTTTTTGTTCAATTTTTCAAACTCATCATCAGTCATCTTCAATTATGGTGAATTTTAACCCAGCAATTGAAGTAATTGAGAAGCAAATCAAGAAGAGAGACGACACTACTTTCTTATAGTGTTTGCTAGTACGTGTTGAAGTTTATTTGAGAAGTGTATTTTATGAAGAATCCATATCCATTGTTAACTAATTCTAATTGTTGTTGCTTGATATTTCTTTCTTGTTTACAGGAGAAAGGATATAAACTAGCAAAGAGACCAGAAGTTAGAATTGCAAACAAGAAAGTCGAAGTTTTTTAAAGTGCTTATTTTATTAAGAGAATAATCATAGAACCAAATTATATCGGTTCTATGTGAATGCATAAGATATCAACGATGGAAACGATACGATGGCGAATATATATTTCTACAAGGAAATTTCAATGCCGAAAAAGAGAAATCAAACACCTATCCTACAAGCAAGTTTTTAAGTTAAATATAATAAATATATAATATTTATATAATACTGTGAGATATTGGATCGAACTCTAGTATGGTCGAAGGGTAACTTCTTGATTCGATAATTCGACAAGATCTAAGCACGAGATCGATGTTGGTTCACATGTTGGGGTCGAAGACCTGTAATGTTGTAGTCGGAGTATGTTCAAGTATCCAGTAGTCGAAATACTAGGATTGTTAGCATGTCGAATTGGATATGTTTGGTATGTCTAATTATTTAAGTTAGCTTGTTCTATAAGTTATTTTTTAATGGGTCTATGAGTAAAAACCCATTAGTTTAGTGTGTTAGTTTTCTTATAAATAGCATACTAATCTCTCATCATTGCATATTGTAAATCCTAATTATGGTGAGAGAGATTATTTCTTATTTTGAATACTTGTAATATTTTTTCAAAGAGAAGGTAAAGAATAGTAGTTTATAACAAATTTTATGGTGTTCTTCTTGCTTCCATATTTCCAATTCTTGTGGATTTCTTGCCGAGAAGAAACATGTTATACTTTATTCTTGGTATCCTTTTTCACAACAAATTGTTGCGATGAGCATGGAGAAGATGTCATCAATAAAGTATGAGATTGAAAAGTTCACCGGAGTGAACGATTTCAGTTTGTGGCGCTTAAAGATGAAAGCCCTATTGATTCAGCAGGGTTGTTAGAAGCATTGAAGGGAGCCACAACCATGGATGATGCGTTAAAGGATAAATAAAAAAACAGTTATGGTAGAGAAATCCCACAACGCCATCTTATTGAGCCTTGGTGATAAGGTTCTTTGACAGGTGTTGAAGGAGGCGATGACGTCGGATCTAATGGGAGAAACTCGAAAGTTTGTA